CCCTAGAACTCCATTGCTTGCAACAGCAAGACACCTAGCCCAAGTGGTGACACCTGCGTTTAGACATATATTTGTCTGGGTCTTAACATGGAGCTGAATCCCATTCCAGATCCAACTGTATGCACACTGGGGGGTGTGCATTTGGAAATTTGGTTTGTTGTTCAGTGCTGAGTGGAACAGTGTTTGGGAAATACTGACCTGAAAGAGGGCAATGGGCATCCTGTCAACATCCCAATCCCCTTTCTACCACCCGGGGTCCATGGCCCACTTGATGAAAATTTACTCCCCAGTTAACCATGATGTAGAGGGGTAGGGCACACCTTCAAGCCTTCTTCACACAGCTCCTGGAGCTCAGCATTCATTAGCATCGTGCTGTGATGTCCAAGTTAGGACTGGCTCACAAAGTGACCCACAGTTGAATTTCTCATCCCAGTCCCAGTCTGGAGAAGAAACTCATCCACCAGGAGAGAGTATTGCCACAAAATACAAATGGAAAGAGACCATGTAAATGCTCAACTTCCCTGCCATATTGCAGCCATGAAATATGTGTATGTGCATCCAGGTGGGGACCCTTCAGTCTCCTTACCCATTAACTTCGTGGTGATGGCATAAAAGGCAAGAATAATGTGGATCAGGGAAAAAAACCCATGATCTCTGTTCTTCCTCAGTAACAGAATGAGCACAACCCACAACCACCACCACCCCCACCCCACCCCCCCCCACTGTTTAACTGGTAGAACTGATCTGGACAACCTTGTCCTTGGCATGGTACAGGTCCGTACCTGAAGCAGCCATCCCCATCCTGAGCCCTAAGGGTAGCACTGATGGAGAAATAAAATTTTGCAAACAGGCTTAAAAACCTCCCTCTACATAGCGCAACCTCCTGGGGTCACACGGGGAGGGGCGTAAACATGAGTTACCTGAGCAGACAACGCCTGCATCTTCTCCATGATTGCAGTTATGCTCTCCCCAGGGTCTGGTCCTGCAGGCAGAAAGGTCAGCTTCTGTACCGGTGCAGTTCATGTCATCCAGCCAGATATGACCAGTTCCTTGACCAAAGTGAGCTGAGCCAGGGGCTGACAGTGCTTCCCCACAGTCCAACTGCCTGCATACGACCATGGCATCGGACAGATCCCAGCTGTCATCACACACGGTTCCCCACTGCTGCTTCCAAAGCACCTCCAGCCGCCCCGCGCAGCGGCTGGGGCCGCTCACAAGTCTGATGGGAGCTGTGTTGGCAGCACCTGAATCCCAAAACAAGCCAAGGTAGAAAATGGGCGTGAGCCAGGTTTTGGCTGATAGTGAAGAATGTAATATCTTGCTCTTGCAGGAATAATGCCATTTTGGGTCTGTCTGGGGAAGGACAGCCAAAATGCTCACCATTTTTTTTTCCCAGCAGGAACATTATAAGAAAAGCTTGCTGGGTAAGTGGTGTAAATTTCTTGCACAGGTGGCGTTAGGACTTCTAACACATCTCTGCATCTCTGTAAGCAGCTGCAAGATCTTAGTCATCTAGGACAGTCTGATCATGAAGTTCCTGCTAATATGTCCCTCCCAGACACATGCCAGATATTCAAAACCTTGGATGAGAACCAATCATTTCCAGCCATGGAACAGTCCCAACACACCCTCTGACATGGTTTGTGACAGCTCCACACCACAGAAACCCTAGACTGTACCCTGCACACAGTCAGGAAGATGAGAGGAAAACCTCAGATTATGGTCCTTCAGAAGATGGAGGTCACAGAGTAAGTGCCTCCACACAACCTGAGCTGCTGTAGCACCATGGGTCTCACATCATCCCTCCCCACCCTCATTGTGCATCTCCCTGCTCCATGCACAAGACCGTGAACATTACTCCTGAGGTCTGCCACTCTCCTTGTGTTGTGCAAGTTATCAAAGGAAGCTTTCAGGTCACTTCTCTGGGTACAAATTAGGATATCTGCATCCTTGTCCAAAACGCTTGCCAGAACTTTGCTATCCAGAGCTTGCTCACCTGTTGCCATGCGGAGCACAGTTTGCTCACCTAAATGAAGGTTTCTAGTGCCATTTGTAGACCTTCACCCTCCAGAGCAGTGGTTGGAGTCCAGGATTGAGAAACTAGGGCGACTCAAATGGCTCTAGACACCTACGTTAAGGCAACTGCCTACCGTCCATAGGGTAGGATTCACCTCCCAGCTGCTGACAGTTGCAGTGTTGTCCGTGCTAAACAACGGGACTTCGATACAATGCAGAAAACAAGGTATTTCCAATCAACATCCATCCATAAGGGAGGAAGAGGTAGAGAAGGGCCTCTTTCTCTTTATGGGTATAAGGAAAATCCAGGCTACTGTTGGGATCTAAGCCTGGCAGAAGATGCCAAAGATCCCTCCTTATTCAGAAAGGCCCTGCCAGATGCTTAAACTGTGTCCACATCTTTGGTCCTGGGTGCTGCTCCCCACGGCCTTTATACACTTATATCAGAGGCTTTAGAGCAAGGGTTGCCACTGAAGCCTTGCCAGGTCTACTCTTCTATGCTGTGGGAAAGCATGGCTATTTTTCAAACAAACTTTAAATTCCCAGATCATCCTCCCTGATCATTGGCAGAGCTGGCACAGCCTTTACTTCATCCAGGCCCCTGAAACAGCTTGAACTTGTACCAGGTTTTGTTAAAAACCAACATCACTGTTTCAGGATAATCCTTATCCAATTCTTTTACTACTTTTTGGTTTAAATTATTGGATTATGCTGATTTGCAAGATATAAATGCGGCTGCATTAAGCACTGACTCTGACAGGGAGGCAATGGGGGTCTGCTATGCTTATTCACTCTTAGGTCCTGGCTCCAACACAGACGATTACTCTAGGGTGGAGGAAAAAAAGAGGACTACATTCTGGATTACGCAAATCAACCAAAGGAAGCTCTGTCTTTATACTTGCAGTTGTTTGTTCCCAGGGTTTGTCTCTGTATGTTTGCATTGTTAATGCCTTTAAATCTCTAGGTGGCTTTTGGAAGCCAAATGATCTCTGCTACTGTCTTCTCTTGTCTCAGAAATGTCAAGCCTTTTTCCAGTGCCAGGAGTTAAACCCCAAGCTTCCTGGATCTTCAGTCCTTTACTCCAGCCACGAAACCCATTTCCTTGCCAAGACTGGGGATACGAGAGGGGTCAATCCATCATGAGTCCCATTTATCAGATCGTATCCAGAATCCTGTTCTCCAGGAGCAAAGGAAAAAACTTACCCCAAAGACATGTCAAGAGGAAGAGCAGAGTTTCCATCCTCGTTCCAGTGCAGGCAGCCAGGCTCCCACTGCGGGCATCCCTGGGTGGGAGAAGATTTCCTGGTGGTCCCATGGTAGCAACAGAGACCTTATACAATCCAGCTCCTGAAGGCCTGGTCGGCAGTGTAGAGCAGGAAGATCGTCCTTGTAGGAGAGACAAAGAGTCAGCGGCTGGCTGGGGAGGCAGGAGAGAAGACAGTAAGGACCAAGACAGGAGGTAGATGACAAATATTCCTTACCCTGACTCCTCCCCTTAATTGAAGGATTCACCCTCCAGTGTTGGCTCCGTCCCTCCTGTTCCTTGCATCTCCCTATGCTGCTTCCCTCCTCCCATGCTCTTCTGTTCATCAATGTATTAAGGGAAAATAACCCCTGGATCTTTTCTCCTCTGTTGTTGTTTTGGCAGAAAGAAAGCTGTTTCTGGCACTTCTAAAACTGCCATTCTCCTGGCAGGACTAGCTCATGAACAGGCAGTGCCCTAGGAAGACTTCTTGGAGAAGGCAGGAGTGATCTCTGTGTCTGCCTACTCCTCTGACTCTTAAATACTGTCTAGGAATGGGAAGCATATGGAAAACAACAAAACACCTTTTTTTACTGTGAGGGTGGTCAAACACAGGAACAGGCTGCCCACAGAGGTTGTAGAGTCTCTGTCCTTGGAGAGATCCAAAACCTGACTTGATATTGTCCTTGACAACTTGCTCTAGCTGACACTGCTTGAGCAGGGGGCTGGACTAGAAGAGGAAGAAGAGGTTCCTTCCCACCTTAGCGACTCTGTGGATTAACTCCTTCCTGAACTGGGGGACAGTGAAATAGTCTCTATATAGTGGTGGTGGGGAAGGGTCTCTTAGGAACTGGGTGGGGCCACACTTGTGAAGTCACTGTAAACCACTTACAAGAACGAGAACTTCAGGATGAAAGAGTGCAATGCAAGACATTGTCCCAGGACAAGGACACAGCATGTGCAGGTAAGAGGTTGAAGTAGGGAGCAGAAGATAAACATGGCCTCTGGAGAGATATGGCTTGCAAGGAGTCTGCTTAACATCAGCTTGGATAAATAACACTGGTGAACCTACGTTTCTGGTATTTAATACTGGTGATTAAAATAATGTTTGTTTTCAGAAAAACTTTAAGTTAGAATCATAGAATACCAGGTTGGAAGGGACCTCAAGGATCGTCTGGTCCAACATTTCTAGGCAAGAGCACAATCTAGGCGAGATGGCCCAGCACCATGTCCAGCTGAGTCTTAAACATGTTCAGTGTAGCAGAGTCAGCCACTTCCCTGGGGAGATTTTTCCAATGATGGACTGTTCTCATTGTGAAAAATTTACCTCTCGTGTCCAATCGGAATCTCCCTGGGAGTAACTTGTACCCGTTACCCCTTGTCCTCACCATGGGACTCCTTGTAAAAAGGGAGTCTCCATCTTCTTTGTAGCTCCCCTTTAAGTACTGGTACATAGTGATGAGATCACCTCGAAGCCTCCTTTTCTCAAGGCTGAACAAGCCCAGCTGTCTCAGCCTATCCTCTTACGGCAGGCTGCCCAGACCCTGGATCATCTTGGTGGCCCTTCTCTGGACCCCTCCAGCCTGTCCACATCTTTTTTGTATAACAGGGACCAGAACTGTACACAGTTAGCCTGCAGTTCACTTATTTTCAGGGCTAAGTCTTCCCTTAAAGAAGTGTTTTTCACTGGTGCGCTCCTGGGGAAAAGCAGACTTTCTGAGACCTACAGGGCCAAACTCATAGTCACCAGTTCAGATTCAGCCGGATAAAGATGCTTTCGATGCCATGGACGAGTTGTTTTCACAGGCACAAATTATGGATGAATTTTTGGATATCTGTGATGGTATGATTGGCCTTGACTCTGGAAGATGTCCAAGAAGAACATTTGGAGACATGAAGAACAATATAAGATGCAGGGCTTTATTGATTGCCTTGTTACCTAGCCTGCCCCTGTCAAGAAGCTTTTGGCTCTGTCATCTTTACTGCTGACTTTCAAGTGATTCTAAGCTGCTATTTCATCATCCTTTGCCTTCTCTTCTTCAGAAAACACAAACCCAACTCTTTTGGCTTCTCCTTATTGATCATGTGCTCTAGGTCCCTGGCCATCTTGGTAGCTCTTACCTTTGAGCCAAACCATGGCACAGATTAAGGCTGAATGCAGAAACCCTTTGGATCTTAGCAGATATTCAGGTCATTCAATTTATTTGGTCTTTCAAAATCCCCCCCCTCTCCCCCCCCCCCCCCTTATGGGAGTGTGGAAGCCTCCTAGATGGAAGAGGAAGCACGTTTTGAGTCATATTTCCACAAAAGAAGTGTCAAGAGGTGAATCATGTTGAATCACATACCATGAAGAAAATTGAGCAGATGAGCTGGCAACTGAAAAGAAAGGCTTTGAACAGAGCAGGCTGCAAGAGGGACAGAGACCATAAGCCAAGAGGAGAGATCCCATGAGATATCGGAGCAACAATGAACAAATCTTATCTGCTGTGGACAAAATATCAGCAACACCTTCTATGTCTCGGAAGGGAGCCACTGAGTCCTCGTGCCCAGATCTTTGTCAGAGGTGCCGATTAGTCTTCCTGCTCTGCCTTAGTATTTCACACTTTCAAGCAAGGTATGTCCTTCTCAAGTAGCCATTGTTCCTTCAGTTCCGACCCTACTATTTACTATTTGCTTCAGCTTCAATTGGCTTTGTAGTTCCTTGTTTATCCTTCAGTCCCATTCCTATTGACCTTTAATATAACCCTATATATCTTCCTTGTTCCCACTTACTAGAAACAATAGGCCTTTGGCCAAGTAGTGGAGCAGCTCTGCATTCCTCTGCTCTTACATCTCCCTCTGCTTTTGAAAGCATCCTGCCTTGGCTTATTTCCCCTCCCTGTATTTGGAGGAGGGCAGTCTGCTGCATTGCTCTTTCCTCAAGTCTTCTCAGGAGCCTGTAACATAATGTGTTTATGCAAAGCCGTGCTGCAACATTGATGTAAATCTGTGGCGTTAAGAGGTTGGGAAGGAAAGGAACGTTGTGCTAGGTGCAGGATGAGCCCCACGTGGCTTGAATGCAAATGTCTGAACAGTGCACACAGACATTTGGAGCACAGCTCATGAGTGAAGGCTTTTGACTATAGCGTATAACAACAGAACTGTTCTGTAAAGGAAGAAAAGACAGGAGCTGAAGGCAGCCACCACACAGGCAAACCAACGACCTCACCCACAGGGAACAGTCCCATAGCACCAGAAGAGCAGAGAAGGATAATTAGAGCGATGGGACCCACCAACAGTACAATAATCATCAGGTGAAGACAACATAATGTGCCAGCACCAAGGTCAATCCAGGAAATACAAGCAACGACTCAGGAACAAGGCTGGGAACAGGCACATCCATATCAGAGCTCAAGTAAGGATTGAATTTCTAACCCTGACCTTAAATGGGACCCCTGGCCAGAAGGTGTGGGTGGAGGCTCCAGGTGTGGGTGTTAGTGTAGGCTCCAGGCTCTGGTAATAAAGGCCTATTAATGCACTCAGCATCTTGACAATAGAAGAGAGGAAAAAATTGTTCCTAATGTTAATGATCTTAGAGAATATCTTGCAGTTTTATATCTCTCTCTTCATGTCTTAGCTCCTGACCTGGTGGGCATTGGGTGGAATGTGGTGGCTATGAGCAGGTGTGCAATAAAAGTGGCCTAGTCTTCACAGCTAACAGGGCTAGAAGGGTGCCTTTTAGTCAGGTCATCTTCTGGCTGTGACATTGCTCAAGACTTCAATAGGGACATGCCAACCATGGCACTGCTCTCTGTCTCTGGGACAACTTTCCCTCTCTGGACAGCGTCTTGCCAAGCCTGGAGCCATCCCCTGGTGGCTCTGGTTGCCTCTGTCAGGCAGTTAAGCTGTCATTCATTACAAGCAGTACTTTGGCAGCTGCACCACTGCCAGGAGCTGGGCTTCCCTGCAGGGTCTCTGGAGGCTCGGGGGTACACAAACCACAGAGCCATCTCTTGGCCAAGGTCCACAAAGGTCCTTCCCCTTCTTTGATTCCCCAAAACCACTCTGTGGGGACAATTGTCTAAATCTTGTAGAGGTCTGATTATCTGGGATGCTTCTGGCTGTGGTCCCTAGGGAGAACCCATCCTGCGCTACGCCTCTTTCAGCTAAATCCCACCGCGCCATGCACAACCAGCCTTGCTTCATTGAAACCCATCACCTGGTTTAGGCTCTATCAGGCTGGGCCAAGAGAGGTGCAATGGCACGCTGTCTTGTCTGCACACCCTTTCCTAAACTCTTGTACAGCACCCTGGCCCTAGAGCTGACCGTGCATGTCCGCCTTGGACATGTCCTGTGTATTTGAAGAGTTCTCACTCTTGGCTTGGAAGGTGGAGGGGATATTCTAATAGCACTAGCAGTCATACCAGCGGCTATTTGTGTTTTGCAGGGTGGAGTCAGGGTATTTTTGTAGCTTTGTGACTGCAGGAGGCTTTCCTAATCATATCTTTTTTTTACAGTTTTCTTTGTCATCAAAGGAGAGAACATCTCTCTTATTTTTATAAAAAATAAACACACCTAGGCACTTGACCTTAGGGGGATACTGCACCACTGATTTTTATTATCTGAGCTATCCTATCTGTTATTTTTTTCTTTCATGGCATCTGTAAGGAGCTTCTCTGACAACTGCTGTTCCTACAGGTCTATGATCTCTTCTGCTTGTCCTGGAGGTTTGGACTCCCTTGCTCCCACCTGGGAGTGCTGTCAAGGCTGCCTGAGATCCCTTCTGCCTCTCCTCTAAACCCCTCTAGCTACACAAGCTCCTAGACTGTCCCTCCGTGCACGGCTACTTGTGGCACAGCTCAGGGTGACCAGAGCATTAAGAAAGCCTTGCCCACCCCTTTGCATTTTAGCTGTACCTCCTGGCTTCTTGGGAATCCCAAACTTTCAGGGAAGGTGTTTCTTTTCCGCAACTTTTCTGTCTTGGATTGCTGCTTGTGCCTTTTGCTTCCCAACTTTTCAGCCGAACTTGAGACGGCTACTCAGGCTTGGCTTAGCCTGCTTTTCTCTTGCTGAGGACACCCTGACCTTTCACTGAAATACTTTTTGTTTGTATAAATTCAGCCTCTTTGTGGCTTTTGCTGATTTAATGCATGGCTTTATGGTCACAGGCTGACAGGGACATCTGTCAGTGAGACACTGTGGCAGGCAGGGCTCAGCCTGCCAGCTCTTGCTGGCTCACCCAAGTGCAAGGGCTCTGCAAGAAGCTCAGCATCTGCAGCAGGGAGACTGGAAACACCTGCTCTGTCTATATGGTTCACCCAGCTGGGGTATTTGCACGCTCCAGCCAGTAGGTAGAGCCTTGCACTTGCTAGTAAAAAACAGGGTTTGTGTTAATACACCAATGTAGGGCACAGGATTTGCCTTAACTACAAGTAGATTTTAGCTTGTTTTAGCTGTGACAGTGATTGTGTAATACTCGCTTAACTTTTGCCTAGTGGTATTTGTGCAGCTAAGCTATAAACAAATAGGAAATGCATTAAAATAAAATCCCAAACCCCAACCAAACGCCAAACTATGTAGCCTTTGAGAAATATTAGCACCGTATGTTCATTGAGGCTGAGGGGCTATTGTGTAATTTATTGATGCAGAACACGTACATATGTTGTGAAGTTTATGTAGACCACTTGTAACTCTTATTTTTTCTGTAATATTCATATAATTAGGGCTATAAGTGTTAATATGATTGCAATTAGACCAATAATTGTTGGTCTATATTTTTTGCCAATTATTGACTAGGTGAATAATTGTTGCTAATAATTGTTGCCAATGATCCTTGGGCTGTTAAAACATGAATGAAGCTAACAGTAAATTCTTGGCTCTCTATATAAGGTATGTTGTCCTTGTTCGTGCATAATAAAGAAGGCAATTAAATGCAATAATAGTTCACAAAACTCTTGCAAAGATTGCATTCATAACTGCCTGTATTTTAAAGGAAATGAAATTATCTTTGTTTCTCAGGCCTGATAATTGTGCTAGTGTAATACAGGACCAAATCATCCAGAAATACTTATAATTAATTTTAGCACCTTCAAAGAACAGGTTTGAAAGTGAGTCATTGAGCTAATGAGGTCGTAATGCCGTTAAGTCCTTAAGTGGTGTGCCCCAGCCCTGCTAAGGACATGGGCGAGTCAGACCAGCTCTAATTTTTCAGGTTCTCCATCATTCTTGTCTCAACAATTTTGCATCTGTCTGCTTTCACCTTTCTTCTCTTGCTTGGCTTTCATTTGTGAGCTGTCTGGCAGCTCAACGATGCTCTCGTGCAAAAGAGACAGTCACACCAAACTGCGCATCAAGGGCCTCAAGCTGCAATATTTTTCTGCCCTGTGTAGAAGAAAGGTGTATAATACAACTATTAGCAATGGCAACATTTCACCTGCATCAAACTGGAGCATTGCGTGGAAAAATCGTGGCAGCTTCTGGGTCTGTTTAAAAAAAAAACAAACCCCCAAAAAACCCTTTTCATTAGAAACAAATGGCAGTAAATTTATTTAATTGAAGGCTTTAGCTACCTTAAATTGGGTGTGCTGTGTCACAGTCAAGACTTTTACTTGTTCTGCAACTTTGCCAGTTTGAGGCATTAAATAGTTCATGAAAGAGTTAAGTTCTATAGTGTAATTGCAAAAGTAACTTTACGTAGACACAAATTTTTTTACAAAACTTTGCTTTGCACTCAGAAAGGGGTTTGATTAGTGCAAAATGCTTGATCCTTCCTATTAAAACATCATGTTCTAATGCATCCGCATTTTTGTTTGACATCAGCCATTGCAAACGTTATATCCCTCAGGCAAAGTAGGAAAGGATTTT